TAACAGCATAGCTAGGGAGAGGGGGAGTAGAGGGGGATTGAGTAGTGAGTGTGGGAGGGATGGGGATATCCTGGGAAGGGGGCGACCAGCATAAGAGTGCGACACTGAGAAGGCGGTCAATTACCCTCCATGGATTACTCGACTCAAGGGCATCATCGAGACATGAAAGGATGGAGATGGAAGAATTTGAGTTACAGGAGATCTTGAAATGAATTAGAGCTGAGATGGCAGGAAATGAGGTGAAAATCAGCTACCTGTTTGGACATTACAACTATAACAAGAATCGACCTGTCCTGGTACAGTTTACTAGCGAAGAGGCAGTGGATTACATACTGCAACACAAACATTTACTCAGAGGTAGAGGAAACTATTACAACATGTTTATTGATAGATATATGAGAAAAGATGAACATATAGGCACAGGGTGAGCCGTCTGCACGCCACAACTCTACCCATTCCACAACTGCCTCCCAAGTCACACCCTCCCCTCCCCAAATCAGCCCTCCCATCTCTCACCCCTGCTTACCCCCCAACAGCTTCCCTTTCCCTTCTGACCCCATTGCATTCAATTCCATCTGTTTCATCCCACCTTCCAATGACCCCCCCTCATCCCCTCAACCCCCAAACCCCCCCATTCATCACCCCCTCCTCTGCCTCTCTTCATCCATATTATCCACCCTCCCCTTGCAACCCTCACTTCTTCCTCCATCTCCCTTTTCTCCTCGTCCCCCTACCCCCCTATCCTCCTCCTCCCCAACCTCTCAACCTCTGTCTGACTCTCAGTCTCACGCAACATTTCAACCCTCCAATGCCTCTCAGACCCTCCCTAATTTTCAAACCCGGTATGCCCTTCCTACCCCAGACTTGCCTACCCAGATCTCCCTACCCAAGACCTTCCTACCTACCTTCCTTGATGCTCAGACCCCATTCGCCCCCCAGGCACACCCCAGGCCCCATTCACTCCCCCAGACACCCCCAACATCCCCCCAGACCCCCAGAGACAAGGTGAAGTCTTGTACCAGAGTTTCCAAGAAGAGTTTTAAGGTTTGATACATCAATGCTGATGATGATGCTTCTCTAATAAGGCAGAAGAGATAAAAGAAAGAGTTAGTGAGGCAGATCCTGACATAGTTGCAATAGTGGAAACTAAAATAAATAGCATGATCTCGGATGCAATCTTCCCAGAAGGGTACCAAGTGATAAGAAAAGAAAGGACACAGAGACAGGGAGGGGGATTGGCACTCCTAATAAAGTGGAAATGGAAGTTTTAAGACCTGAAAAATTTGGGTTCCAATGAAAGCACAAGCTCCATACATGGAACTCTGACAGCAGATGGGAGGAAGATTGTGACCTTGGTAATCTACAATTCCCCACCAAACAGTAGACCCAGGCAGGACTACGATGACAACAACAAGGCACGAACAGATGAACTGCAGAAGGCAGCAACATTAGCTCACAGATTGAGAGCAACACTGCTGGTCATGGGTGACCTAAATCATGGAGAGGTAAATTGGGAAACAATGAATCCTCATGGCGGTGAAGAAACGTAGAGAGCAAAGTTAGAAGATGTTATAGATAGGAATTTCCTAACACAACATGTGAAGGAAGACACAAGGGAAAGAGGAGGGGGATACACCGAGCCTGTTAAGCCTGATTTTCACCCAGAACGTAGAAGACATCGAGAATTTGGAACATGAAATACCTCTAGAACACCATTGTGTCCTAGTCTTTGACTCCATGATGGAACTCCAACTTGTGACCAAGGGACAAGAGGGCTGAGAAAGGAGCGTTGACTACAAGAAAGGGGACTACAGGAGGATAAGGGACTATCTGGGAGAAGTGCAGTGGGAGGAAGAAAGTAGAGGTAAAACAGTCCAAAATATGATAGACCTAGTCATACGGAAATGCCAGATGGCCGAAGAGAGATGTATACCAAAAGTAAAGGAAAAAGTAAGAGAGAATATAATAACGCATGGTTAAATAGACAATGTCACGAAGCCAAAATGAGATGCAGGATGGGGTGGAAGGGTACAGAAGACAAAGGACAGGGGACAACAGGATCAGATGCAACAGAGCTAGGAACGATTACATTTATATAAGAAGAGAATCGGAAAGATATTATGAGAACGATATTGCGATCAAAGCGAAAAAGCAACCCAAATTACCACACAGCCATATAAGAAGATAAATGTTGGTGAACGACCAAGTAACAAGACTAAGGAAAGCAGAGGGGGCATATACGGAGAGTAACAAGGAAATCTGCGAGGCACTGAATGCCAGTTTTCATGGTGTTCACAACCGAGCCTGAGCAGCTCCCATTGTTAGAAGAGATTACCTTAGATGAAAGACTATCAGATATAGAACTGACAGCAGAGGAGGTAATGAAACAGTTGACAACATTATATGCAACTAAAACGGTTGAACCTTACAAAGTATCACCGTGGATACTAAAAAAGGCTGCATGGGCCCTTAGTTTGCCTCTGTCAAGGATCTTTAATGAATCACTTATGTCAGGAGAATTGCCCAATTGCTGGAAGAAGGCCAATGTCGTTCCAATTTTCAAGAAAGGCGATAGGGAGGAGGTAATTAACTATAGACCAATATCACTGATAAGCATCCCCCTGTAAAATACATGAAAGAATAATTAGGCTAAGACTTGTTGCACACGTGGAGAATGTTAGGTTTGTGAACAAACGTCAACATGGGCTCTGGAAAGGGAAATCGTGTTTAACAAACCTTTTGGAATTCTATGATAAAATAACGAGGATAAGATATTACAGAGATGGTTGGGAAGACTGCATATTTCTGGACTGCCAAAAAGCCTTTGATACAGTACCGCACATGAGACTGCTGTTCAAACTCGAGAGGCAGGCGGGGGTGGGAGGAAAGGCCCTAGCATGGATAAGGAACTACCTAACAGGAAGGAGCCAAAGAGTAACGGTAAGGGGCGAGAAGTTGGACTGGCGAACAGTAACGAGAGAAGTACCTCAAGGATCGGTGCTGGGTCCAATTCTATTTCTAATATATGTTAACGACATATTTACAGAAGTAGAGTCCTACATGTTGATGTTCGCGGATGACGCAAAGTTGATGAGAAGAGTTTTGACAGATGAAGATTGTAGGATCCTCCAAGAGGAAGTGAACAGGTTGCAGAGATGGTCAGAGAAATGACTACTGGAGTTCAACACGAGCAAATGTAAAGTTATGGAAATGGGATTAGGTGATAGGAAACCAAAGGGACAGTACACAATGAAGGGGAACTGCCTACCTTTGACGACGCGCGAAAGAGACCTCTGAGTGGACGTAACACCTAATCTAACTCCCGAGGCACATGTAAATAGGATAACGACAGCAGCGTACTCTACACTGGCAAAAGTTAAAACATCATTTAGAATTCTAAGTGAGGAGGCTTTTAGAGCGCTTTACACTGCCTACGTGAGACCAGTCTTAGAGTATGACATCATGGAGCCCCCCCCCCCACTTGAAGAAACACATAAGGAAAGTTGAAAAGGTTTAAAAGTTTATTACGAGGCTCGTCCCAAAGTTACGAAGGTGGGATATGAATAGCGCCTGAAGGAACTAAACCTTACGACATTCGAAAAAAAGAAGGGAGAGGGGTGGATATGATAGGAACGTATAAAATACTCAGGGAATTGAAAAAGTGGAAATAGATGAAATGTCACGCGGAATAGTAACAGAACGAGGGGACATAGGTGGAAGCTGGAAACTAAGATGAGTCACAGAGATGTTAGGAAGTTTTCTTTTATCGTGAGAGTAGTGGAAAAATGGAAAACACTTTAGGAGCAGGTTGTGGAAGCAAACTCTATTCATAATTTTAAAACTAGACGTGATAGAGAAATGGGACCGGAGTCATTGCTGTAAACAACCGATGGCTAGAAAGGCGGGGTCCAAGAGTCAGTGCTCGATCCTGCAGGCACAAATAGGTGAGTACGAACACACACATCAATGTCAGTAACAAACACACACACGGCAGGGTGAGTAACATAAACACACACACACGGCAATGTCAAACCTATTCATGCGACAGTCCTAATAACCCGAACGCTCGACAGTGGCAGCAACCACAACGCTCGACAGTGGCAGCAACCACAACGCTCGACAGTGGCAGCAACCACAACACTCGACAGTGGCAACAACCACAACACTCGACAGTGGCAGCAACCACAACGCTCGACAGTGGCAGCAACCACAACGCTCGACAGTGGCAGCAACCACAACGCTCGACAGTGGCAGCAACCACAACGCTCGACAGTGGCAGCAACCACAACGCTCGACAATGGCAGCAACCACAACGCTCGACAGTGGCAGCAACCACAACGCTCGACAGTGGCAGCAACCACAACACTCGACAGTGGCAGCAACCACAACGCTCGACAGTGGCAGCAACCACAACGCTCGACAGTGGCAGCAACCACAACTCTCGACAGTTCCAATAACAGGAACGCTCGACAGTTCCAATAACACACACACACACACGTGATCCTGTGATCCCGGGCGCCGGCGAGAAACGATGGGCAGAGTTTCTTTCACCATATGCCCCTGTTACCTAGCAGTAAATAGGTACCTGGGAGTTAGTCAGCTGTCACGGGCTGCTTCCTGGTGTGTGTGTGTGTGTGGTGTAGACAAAAACTAATAGTAGTAGTAGTAAAAACAATTGATTGACAGTTGAGAGGCGGGCCGAAAGAGCAGAGCTCAACTCTCGCAAACACAACTAGGTGAATACTACTAGGTGAATACACGTATAAAGATAAAGATATTTTCAGTAGACTTTAGAACTATCATCTTATTGTTCTTAAGTGTCCTGTGCAGAAGTGATACTCATTCTGAGTTTTGTATCGTTTTCAAAGGATGACACGAACCTGTGACTAAGAAATGGTTGAGGGACTGTTCCCTGGAGTACATTGGTTTTCACTTTACTTGGACATGATATTGTATGATTGACAGTTAATATTTGCATTGTTGAAAACCAAATTAAATATTCATTGGCCTATTTTACCAGTTATTCCTGTTGAACTGATCTTATAGACAATAGTGTCTTTCAAGCCTACTTTGTCCTTACCTGGCCTGGGTGGCAGTTTTGACCTGTAGTCGCTGGGAAAGTTGATAATATTACATTGGGTCTCGTCCGTCTTGTCGTCGCAGTCAAACTTGAGGTCGCACCTCAAGAGGAAGGGGATGCAAGTGCCGTCAGTACAGGTGAACTCCTCTGACGTGCACGGGGAGAGCGTCAACACCCTCGTCCCGTTCTCCTGACCGCACACACTCTCCTAACATCACAATCATGGGCACTTCAAAGGTAAAATTTATCCCAGAATAAAACGAAATTAGTTTTGAAACTTGTTTCTTGCAACCTGATTAGTTAAGAGTTTGTCATAAATATTTGACGAAGGGTTTGGCCGTGTGTTTCACTGAAGAAAAAACTCACCCCTGAGTGTAAGCAAAAAATAATTATTTGAAGTGCGGTGTTTAGGGTTAACATTAGACGAACTTAGGGCTATCAAATACATGCACATTTTTACCAGTAAAGATACCTGGGAGTTTAAGACCAGCGGCCACAACTGTTAATCCTTAGTGGGAGTGCATCAGCTGCTCTTCGGAAGGGAAACTCACTTCTAGACCTCACTGCACTCTACCTCCGACGAGGTAAACTGCCCATTAGGCCTTAATACCACCTTTCTAGATGTTAAGCTTACTATCATCTATAACTATTGCAGCCTACCTATGGCGGATACTCTTCTACAGACACTATGACAGCACCGCCAGGAAGGAACGCTCACATTTAGAGCTTACAGCAGCCTACCCAGTATAGTAAACTAACTGTTGTATTCCACGATGGGTGTGGCTAAATGTGGCTAAACTCACCACATGGCTTCATTGCAAACTATGGAAAAGACAAACACACTACAGACGCCATGGGAGCTATCTAAAGCTGGATAAACTCACAACAGACTGAATAGCAACTAACCAAAGGGGTAAATTCGCTGTAGACTCTGCGGCAGCTAACCATAGAGGAACCCTCATTATAGACTACGCGGTAGCTGAGCAAAAGGATAGCCTCATTATAGACTCCGTGGCAGCTAAACAAAAGTATAGCCTCATTATAGACTCCGTGGCAGCTAAACAAAAGGATAGCCTCATTATAGACTCCGTGGCAGCTAACCAAAGGAGAAGAGCTCACTATAGACACCATGACAGGTAACCGAAGGGATAAACATACCATTAGTTTCCAAGGTAGTCTGCCGAAGGGGTAGTTAAGATGTTTGGGGTTGATGAGCGTGGCCATGGTAGTGTTGGTGACAGAGTTGTACCAGGTCCACACGTGCCCCACCTCCTCCACCTTGTACTCACCATACCCGCGTAGTGACAGCGGCAGCGAGACCAGGTCGAAGTAGTACATGCGCTGGTACAAAGGTTAGGGAAAGACAGGTAAGGTGAGTGATCAACACATTCTCTGACCTTTGTAATCAATGATTTATTGCTTACGGTGACTGCTCTAATTAACAGCAAACGTAAACTGAATTTAAAATGAATCAAATTGTTTCAAAATACTTGTTATATAGGACACGACTAAATATACAAAGTTTTTATTCAGTTTCAGATTTAAGAGCAAGTTGGTCTTGAACATCAACTTGAATTTTGAGAAAGACAACATTTGTCAGAAAATCCGACACCATTTAATATATCATACAGACAGATAATTGCTGCTGTGTTGTATAAACAAGTTAACCCATAGAAAACGTAACTTGTAGTGGAATTACCGTCTATAGAAAACGGAATATCATTACCACATACTATTATAAATTTACCACTATTATGGTGGGAATTATTCTTAAATACATTAGTCTTTGGACTTTACCATCATAAAAAAATATCATATAAATTAACTTAATTATCAATATTAAAGTAGAGTAAATGTGACCCTTCTATCACTTACTGTCATCTGGACAATGTAGGCCAGTAGCGTCAGGGTGAGGGAGTGGCAGCCATTGTTTATACTAGACGAGAGGCTCACGGGAGCAAATACGGCTCCTGTTAAATTTACTTGGACGAAGTGTTATGGAAACCAAAGGTGTACCATTATCAACACGCTGTCAACAAATACAAGTTAAGTGTTCTACCGAAACCCATTTATCTATCATTTATGGCCATTAATGTCATTAGATAGGGTGATCCGGTTAGAGCATAAGATCGCCTCATACTAAAGGTAATTAAGCCAGGTCTTTAAGGTTCCATGTACAGTGTTTTCTCTGATATAGTTGTCATATATTAGGATTCTGGCTTTACAGCTAGCGCCCTTTTGACAGGTCAAGACGAGGAAGCATGCTTTGTGCATCAGTTACCAGGGTGATGGAAGCTACCTCAAAGAGGGAAAATGTGGTGTCTACATCCTGGTTATACCTGGTGGACTATAAGGCCTGCTGTACAATAAGATAAGGAACCTCTTCAATGTATGTAGTCTAATACTGTAGTTTGATTGGCTGCATATATATAAATTCAATTAATATAAACCCCCCCTAATGTGTAGAGGATCGATTTGTGAGATTGTGAGATTATTGCAGAAATACAGTCCACTTATCATTATACAAATTGCTATCGAAGTATATAAATTAACGTAAATATAAATTCATATAAATAAAATAAATATAAATCTCACAGGTCGGTTCCCATATTATTTGGTCATCTTCGAACCGGATGACAGATTATTTGATCCTTTGAACCCACATTTGGTCATCTTAGCACAGGATGAACCAGTTAACCAGTGGATTCATTAAATAAACTAGTGCAGTGTGATTTAAACAAAGGCCAGCAGTCAAAGACAGCGGCGTTGCCTCAATCGAAGTTCACGAGCCCCGCTCAGTTCAGATCAGCCTCGTCAGCGGTTTCATGCACACCCACAGATTTGGTGGCGTGTTATTCTGTGAAATGACAGCGCTAATATTGAAGCCAGCCAAAGTAGTGGCTGTGGTTTCGCGAGATTGTTCACGGATTTCGTGGTGTTAAATTTCGCGAGAGATTATCTACGAATTTTGTGGACTTTATTTCGCGAGGTCACTAATAGTATTTAATACTTCTAGATAATATTAGAAGTTTCATAGAGGCTAATTAAGAGGCTATTATCAATAATTGTGTATATTATTTCTCCAAAATAGAGAATTATTTAATATATATTGCACTAGTGATCACAGTATAATATTTACTAATTGCCAACCCACAATAGGGTAGGATATTACCAGGGACTAGTTGAACTATTTATTGTTCATCCTAGTCCCATTATTACCATAGTCAGTTGTACTATATTGAACAACCTAACACCATTAATGAATGGTCCAGACCCTATTTTGGGTGTAATTTTTATCAACTCAAGTTGAGTTGTGTATATATATAATAATTTACTTATGATCATTACATCTTTGAGTGATTAATTAGTGTCTCTACCATCCTAGGGTGATATAGAAGAGCTAACCTAAAGGTACTTCCAGTGACACTGGTTTATCACTCAAATCATTAGTGTGTATGATTGTATATATATAATGTGTATTAATTTTAAGTGCTAACCTCTAGTAGAGGTAGGATTATTGCCTAGTGAGTGCAGAATTTTACCTTAGGCTACCATTAGAGCTTGTTCAGTATTATGAGCGAACCAAGTACAAGTCCCACAAGGCTTCACCAACTAGCCAGTATGGATAATGCAAGGAGAATGAGAAGAACCCTTACAGGTCTTAAAGGCCACTTAACAAGACAGATCAAGAAATGTGAAGATTTGTCACAACAATCTCCAGTTGATTATGCTGACCTGGAAAGCTATTATCAAGCAGCTGCAGGTAAATTTGAGCAAATCAAATGTCAAATAGCAACATATGTGGCTGAACTTGCCAACACCAATTTATCAGAAACAGAAATAGACGACATTATGGTTGATCTTGCGAATTATGAAGATCATACTCAGGCCACGTTACAGCCTTATGTCAAATTAATTGCCCAAAACAAGGCAACAACAACAGCAACAGTTGCATCTAATACGAGTCAAGCAGAAGCTCGACTCCTTCCAATTAATTTACCCACTTTCTAAGGAAAAGATGAGGAAGATTGGGACGAATTTTGGAACAAATTCGTTGACCTTGTAGACTCAAAACAATCTTTACCAAAGTGTAGTAAATTCTCTTATTTGCAAGGCCAATTATCAGGTGAGGCTAAAACAGTAGTATCCCATTTGAGATTAACTAATGACGGCTATGATCTGGCAGTAAAACTCCTCAAGGATAATTATGCTGATCCAGAAGTAAGAACATCACATTTAGTTCATGAGCTGTTGCATTTACCCCCACCGGAGGCTTCAGCTGATTCACTCCAAGTCTTCAAGCTGGATATAGAATCATTGATCAATGCCCTCAGCCTGACAGCAGATACAAACGGGGCTGAGTGGGTCTTGAAAATAATTGTCCAGGAGAAAATACCTAGGGACATATTGAGACAAATGAGTACTCATTACAATAAAAGTATCTTATCCATGAATGAAATATCTGAGGGTTTAAGGTCAGTAGTTCATCAATTACGAACACATGGCAAATTAAAACCACCAAGTAAACCCTCAGAAACCAATAATAGTAAACCACAGAGTACCAAAGGTACTCCAAATCAATCTAGACAATATAATTCAACACCAAAGTGGAACAGTAGCAGTGTGGGCGTATAGGCAGTGGGACCCTCCAAGCCCATAGTTACTGTGTCACCCAAGAACGTGACACCAAAGGGTACTGGAAACTATGGAACATGTTTGTTCTGCAATGAGAAACATTCAATGTACCACTGCTCTAATTTTCCTGATAGTGACGCCCGTGTTGAGCGACTCAAAGATTTGCAACATTGCACGAGGTGCCTCAGGAAACATAACATCAAGGACTGTGAGACCCAATTACACACCTGTAATAGGTGTAACAAAGGTCAGCACCATGCAGCATTGTGCAGAGACACCAAAACAACGTCTCCAAACCCCAAGGTGGAAGATAGCATTCCCACCACAGTACAGTACTGCAAGGTGCAACAAAGAGTGTCCAATCGGCAAAGTCTAAAGGTAATACGACTTTGCCTACTGCCCAAATTACCATCCAGAATAAGAGGGCCAAGGTCCATACCCGTGGGTTGTTTGACCAAGGATCCCAGAGAACATATGTCACTAAAAGGTTGGCAGATGAACTACAATTAAGGCCTGTAGCCCAGACGTCATTCAATATCTCAGGATTTGTAACAGATGCAGGACCTCAAGTCTACCAGGTGGTACAACCATCAGTACGTTTAGGCAGGTACGTCTGTAGAGTACAAGCCATTGTGGTGGACAAAATACCAGTAGACCTACAAGTTCAAGGTCTGAGAGCAACAGCCAAATTCTTGAGAAATAGAGGAATAAAATTGGCAGATAATATTAAGTCTGATCACCTCAACGACTTCGGTCTCCTTGTAGGGACAGACTATTGTCATCGATTCATCGGTAGCCCTACTAAATATCAGGGTATAACCATGTTAAACTCTGCAGGAGGTAAATTACTCTCAGGCCCAGTATCAAGCCTGAGGAGACCTATGCCTGCAGATAAACAATACCAGTAGAAATCTAAATTTGTCAGCTACTTATATTTCTCCAGTAGCATTATACTAAGGAGATTACAGCTGGCTATAGTACCAGAGGTTGATGTTAGTATCATCATTTAAAGCTGGAGATGAGTTCATGAGGCCTCAGTGGCAAATCAGTGAACAGTAGCCTAAACAGCTACAAGTCACTGCGACCAATGTCACTGAACCCACTGCAGTCTCAGAACCATACTTTACTTTAATGATGAGCTATTCAATCTTCTGAATCAATTAACTAAATTAAACCCCAATAAATCTGATGACTGATTTGATACATTTATTATTTAATCAAGATGTATTCCATGGGCCTCAGTGTTTATATATCAGTGACCAGTTACCTGAACAAACTTCATGTTATATCTAATGTCACTGATCTCACTGCAGTCCCTGAATCATACTTGACTGTAGTACTTGATCACATTCAGTCTTGTGGGTTAAATAATGTGTAATTTGGCTTGAATATTAGCCTTTCAAGAGTTGACAGGGAAATGAAATCGCATTAGACTTCTAACCTCTGCAACTCTAGTACGGGACATCCGTCCAGTACGAACAGACGCACAAATGTGTGATTACTAACTACTAACATCAAATTAATCTAATAATTTGAAGGAGGAGTATCGGTGTTCTTCTGTTCTAAATAGGACTTCGACCCATGAGCAGCCCCTGGGGAATTATGTCGGAAAATCCGACACCATTTAATAATATCATACAGACAGATAATTATTGCTGTGTTGTATAAACAAGTTAACCCATAGAAAACGTAACTTGCAGTGGAAT